TGACTTGTACCGCTCTGCAGGCTTGTAACTCGGCCTGCAGTCAATATTTGAGCCTACAGTTAGGCTCGTTCGAAAGAACGAGACTTCCTCTACACGATGGTATGCAAGCTGTTCAGTTTTAAGCAATCCCAGAGATTTGGCGGATGGGGTGAAAAAGTGCAGCCTTAGAGGTGATTGGAGTGAAAGCTCTTATGAACACCAGAACAGTCTCAGAGCTTCGCAATGGACCTATTACAAGAAAATTGACAGTTTTGAACTTCCAGGATAGAATTGGTAGCGAAAGGAGCTCCCTTCAGCTTTAGCTGAAAAGTGCTTAGACTACAACTGAAGCTGCCCTCTTCCACCCCATCCGCCAAATCTCTGGGATTGCTCAAACTGAACACGCTTGCATACCATCGTGTAGAGGAAGTCTCGTTCTTTCGAACGAGCCTAATTGCAGGCTCAAATATTGACTGCAGGTCGAGTTACAAGCCTGCAAAGCGGTACAAGTCAGTGGTGAGGTGCAGGTAGGGTCATAGGTGCGATAGGGGGAGCCGGGCCCTCTCCAGGTGAAGGGGGTCTCTGCTACTCCCATCCTTGTAAGGTGAAGGGGGTAAGTGAGCCCTGAGAGCAAAATGCCCCAACAAGTTACATACCATTCGAAAACTGAGGTCATATAGAATCGACGTAGACCGTCGGCTTTTTCCTAGGTCTTTTGTTCCGCGAGATTTGAGGGATTTTATGTACTTCATGTGTCAACTAATTTTGTGTCCTCACTTTCTGCTCTCCAAAAGAATGCTACGAGAAAGTCGACGGTCTACATCTGCTAATGAAGACTTGCTCTGTAACGCAGATAGATAACCAGCAGATTAGGTCTTCGTTTGGCAGAATTTGCTGTTGAAAATGAACATGATTTCAGGTAAAATGCAGTGTATCTCTCGATAGAGGGCGGCTAGAAAAAATTCGACGGTCTACGTCGAATCCCCCTTTCCTGGGCTTTCGAATGGTATATAGATTGCTGAGCGAAAAAACTTGCCAGTTTTTAAAAATGGTGTGGAGGTATTTACTATTGGCTTGCTCCACCCAGCTCCCCCAATGTATTGGCTTTTATCGGTCACCAGAGCAAGCGCTTTTTAGAGCCGTGAAGCAGAAAAGCCCTAACATGTTTCACACCGTTCGAAAGCTGAGATTATGGAGAATCGACATAGACCGTCTCTTTTTTCATAGCTTCTCTGTAGAGCGAGATACGAGCGATTTTATACGCCTACTCACCAGCTAATTTTGTGTAATTATTTTGTAATTTAGTTTTGAAAGAAAGAACAAGGATTAAAAAAAAGAGACGGTCTACGTTTACTGGCAAGGTCTTGCTCTGTGATACAGTTAGAAAATCAGGCACCTTTATCCATTCTTCACGCAGAAATTTCTCGACAAAAACACACATCTTTTTGGCTAAAATCCCGTGTAACTCTAAGTAGAGGGGAGCTAGAGAAAAAGAGACGGTCTACGTCGAATCCTTTTTTTGTGGGCTTTCTAATGGTGTACAGGTTGTCGGGTGAAAAAACTTGTGGTTTCTTAAAAATGAGGTGGAGATATTCAATAGTAACTTGCTCCACCCCGCTCCGGCTTTCTATGGGTTGCCGGAGCAAGACTTTTTTGGACTGGGAAAGCTTTGTGCACCAGCACCTTATATACCATTCGATAGATAAGAACGCGAGGAATCGACGTAGACCGTCTCTTTTTTCGTAGCTTCTCTGTGAAGCGAGATACGAGCAGTTTTATCTAGCTACAATATCAGCCAATTTTGGGTAATTATATTTTCCAACCAAGAAGGTCTTTTTCGAACTTTTATATATGAATCGAAAGCATGAAAAACGAGTAATCTGACTGTTGTTTTGTTTGTTATTATTCTCTTTAGTGAAAAGAGATATGGTATGATTTTTTGTCAGCAAACATGCATCCATCGCTAGTCGGTTCAGATTTTTTTACTCTTGCTCAACTCTTTTTTGCAAAGCATGTATTCATTGACACAATGTTAATTGTTCAAAAAATCACCTTTTACTTTTTGATTGCGCTTCGTTATCAACGCCCTTTGAGCGCGGAGAAGGTCTCAAGAATGTTTTTTTAACAAAATGTTGTTGATTCGATACTCTCTTGCAGTCTTGATGTCTGAGGAGAAGAGCAGGTGGCGTTTCTGTCCAAACGAAAGTTCCTTTGTAATAGCTGTTTGCCTTGATTAGTCTCAACCTCAGGTGAAAGGGGTCAGCCAGATGCCGGCCCTAAAGTGAAGGGGGTCAGAGAAATTTCTCCACCTATCGCATCTATGGGTAGGGTCATGTGCAAGCACTGCCAAGGGCCATTTTCAGCAAAGAAACTCATCAGCACATATCCGATGCATAGAGTATGGCAAAGAGCATCTATTTTAACCAAACGGCTTTGTTAGGATGCCTTGAACAGGTTTCCTTGTGAAGAAATTTGGCTTGATAAAGGAAATTAGAAGTTGTTTTTTGAAAAAGCTAAAATAAAACTCAAGCTTGCGTTTTTTGGGGAAGCAACCATAACCAGTGTCTAGTTCTTGACGAGCTCTCTATAGTAGTATGCTTATCCGTCCGGATGACTTGTGTTTCCGCTTTAAAATAGGACTCAAAAGAAAATTTTTGCGTTTGAAGAATTATTGTCCGCGACATTGTGACGCGGCCATTTTCGGACTTTTTTTAGAAAAAGATTCTTAAAATTTTTAGAATACATGTTTCTCAAAAAGCTCAAAGTATAGATTGTAGATCTTGAAGAGCTCTATCACCTCATATAATTAGGTAATACGTTTTTTCGTCCTTGTTTTCCCTCTGAAAAAGAGCGATGAAAAAGGGAGAGGGGTTTGTCCGCAACTTTTTTGGCGGTCACTGTATGTAGCATCTTCGCGCACTCCTATTAACAAAGTCTAGCGCGCTAAAAAATATTACTCCACAAAATCTTTTGATTTGTTGTTCTGTCACTAAGATGTTTATTCGTAAAAAAAAAAGAGTTTCCTTCACTTGACAATGAGGCTAATCACTCGCAGTTTGCAGATCTTAAGTTTGGGAAATTATAAGGTTTCCGAAAGTATGCACACCGCTTGGTCGTTAGTATCAGCTTTCCAACAAAGTCTTTGCCGAGGGTGGAGAACAAACTCCGCTGGTTTGAGCCGCCTTCGCCGGCAGCTCTTTTGCAATGTTTGGATGTCGTTGCAGGACCAGCAGTCCGCGGAGGCGGTTCAAGCTGGCGGAGTTCATTCCCCTAGCCCTTTGCCGATATCGAAATTAATTTGTAGAGCTGGCTTCTAGTTAGAATAGGAATACGGCACGAGACCGGTTATTCTTCATTGCTGTAGGACTACGGTAGGAACTCCCAGCATAAAGTTGGGGATTGGGCGCTTCTAAATAACTATGATAAAAATCTGAAAAGATATGTAGGAGGAGCAGAGTATTCGCGCGCGCTAATCCCAATGTTTAACTTTTAGGAATTTTACAAAATTTCTAGATAGTTTGATCACATATTTGAGGACATTAAAAACACTTACATTATGGCTGGCATAAATTATAAGTATTGCGATGAAGCGCGTGTTTTATATCTGGTATCACCCTGTTTGGCTAGCTTGTTTTAATTTCTTTTAGAGCAAAAATGTGGTCATGGGTCAAAACTCTTTACGAAGTTCCTGCACTAATCTAACATCGTTGAAATGAGATTTAAGCTTCATCCATACTGTATATTTTAAAAAAAGCCAGCTATACGGAATGCTACCCAAAATTCGGCAGTATTGAGCAAAGACAGGAATATTAATTTTTTTACTTGTATTATTTTTCTATTATTTTACAATAATATCAAACTATGTACAATTTTCTGAGACCCCCTTTTCCTGTTTTCTCTGGCAGAGTAACTCCTGGAAAGCTGCACTCGGACACTCTGTGCTCGTATAAGGACGTGCTCTACGTAGCTTTAGTCGTTTGATGAAGCTTATCAACATTATAAAAGTGGCTCATATCGACGCTAACCAAATCAGTACCCATGGAGATACCTATACCTTGCACCTTCTAAAACTTCATCATCACCTTCTTTTAAAAATCGATTCTTTCGGGGGACTATGAGTGCTCATCATGAAGAATTCATTTTCATCATTTTGTTTGGAGATAATTGCGGCATTGATGAGTTTTAGCTTGATTAATTTTTGTTGTGAAGGCTTTTAGATGGCTATTCATCAGCTCACTCAACAGCATCATGGCTTTCCACGCTTTTTTCATTCAAGGCTGGCTTTTCAAAAATCATTGGGCAAACATTTCTGCTCAGATTTTTTTCAAAAATGAGCTCCGTTTTTATGTCAAAAATGATCCTAAAGTCTCTTGTGAGCGTATTTACCTATATAATTTCCTCTAGGTGACCGCCATACAAGTTTGTGTGAAGGTTTACACTCTGTAAAAAAACTTTTCTTTAGCACTCAAGGGTTTGGGATTTCTCAGACTCGACAAAATAGCCTAAATTGATAAGGCAAATTTCCGAGATTTCAACTGTATTGGGACCGAAATGATGGCTCATGATATGGTCCTTAATTCACTTTATACCCACACGAAGTGTTTTTGCTCATAAGATAAAATCCCCTGGACAATCTTCTTACTGAAGATTTTGACGAATATTATGTGCCTTGCTTTCGTTATTGATTTCTAAACAGTTTTTCATAAATTATGGAGCCATATCTTTTTTGCGGTAAAGTTTAAAACGTATAGAGTCCAGGCACTGTTTACCGACTCTATAATTGGAGAAGTTATTGGAACATTCTATTTTTCATTAAAAAGTAATTTAGGAGTGGTCGGTGATTTCGAAGTCTTTCAAAACCAAATTTCTTTACGAACTATATTTACGAACTAACCATATTCATATACTAACCATATTCTAACTTACATTCTATACTTAACCATACTTGTTTACAAAATTGTCGCCTATCTGTCGTCATTCGAAATTTTTCAAAAAAATATTTTGCTATCATTTACAGTGTTATGCTTGATGTGAAGGTGTTTACTCCAGTGTTTCGACCATATCAAGAAGAGGTAGATCAAAAGTACCAGTCAAAAAAGGCTCGTTTCAAAAAATGCAATATTTTCTATGTTTTAGCCGGAAGATGGCGAACCACAGACGATACATCCAAATAAGGAACAGTTAACAAGAAGATATGCGATCATACCAGAGCAAGTAAGAAAATTTTTTTTTATTTTTCCGAAAAACTTTTCCGAAAAAAAATTTTTTTCCGCATTTTTGTCGACCAGTTTTATTCATAAAAAATATATAGCTCATATTCTGAAATTCCCAAAAAGTAAAATTTTTAAGAAATTCAGTCCAGCAGAATGCAGATTTTTTTTTGGAAAATACGCACTTCTATGGTCAGCCGCATTGTTTTCTCTTTGAAATTTCGATGGGAATGCTTTAATTTTTTTTTGGAAATATTGCATTTCTATGGACACATTGTCATGGACAAACACTTGTTTTTCTTTTGAAAATACTTCGAGCACATTCTGAATCTTTTAATTTGAAAACTTCAAACGGCTCTTTTCAGCAGTCCCAGCAGCAGCAAAGGTAAGTAGATGTCGTGTGGTGATTGTTCATTTGAGTGCATATAACAAAAATGCCCTTAAAGATTTTTTTCCTTTTTAAGAATCTATTTCCAGTTCGCAAGAAGGTTGCTGCTCCACCGATAATGTAATAATCGTTCCACATGTGCAAATAACCCCAAATGAATCGCATTTATTCAACAGAGCCATCAGTTCTGGTGGAGGTTTACTAGCAGGTAATGTCCTTTTCACAGCTGCTTCTACTAAATTTACATCTGAGTAAATCCGGAAAAATCATTAAATGAATTTTGGAAGTGTCAGTAGGCTAGATGTATCTATTTTATATGTGTACCTGTATTACAAACCTCTAGATTTTGCCACTTTTGCTGGTAAGAGCCTCGTTTATGGTCGAGTTGATTTGAATGAGGTTGTGTGTAATTACACTACGAACGTGCTTCACTAGAAATTAACGTGTAGAATTTATTTGCGATTTTCTTGATTGAATCGTTGGTCTGCATGGGTCATAAAATTAAGCAAATAACTTGGCTGAGGATGCTTCCTTTTTTTGAATTGACTTATAAGAGCGCGAAAATTTTGAGAAACATCACGTCAACTTTTTCGGAGAATTAACTTCGTACTCCTTGACCTGATAGAATTTTTTCTTGCCTGGCCCCTCCCCTAGAAAGTAATCGCCCCTGTAGTGTTTATGTATCACTAGTTGGCAAACCCGGCTCCGCCCGGGCCTGTCAATAATATATTTATAATCAGCATGCTCGATTACCCCCCCTGTGCCAACTCCCAGCCCTGTAGCTCAAATTTTGCAAAAAATCGATAAAATCGATATCGATCGATAACGAAAAGTAGCCTATGACACGCTGCCTGCCCCGAAGTATATGTGTGCCAAGTTTGGTCCAAATCGGTTCAGAAATAAAAATTTCTATTCCGCACATACGTACAGACAGACATACAGACAGACATACAGACAGACATTCAGCTTTATATATAAGATGAAATGCACTGAAGCAGATTCGTGTATTGATGAGGACACATATTGAGGACATGTAGGCTGTGCAATTGCACACATCACCACTAGTTACGCGGCTGCACATACTTCCTCCACAAGGTGGAGAGCTGAATGAGCGCGACAAATCTCATCCACTTACTATCATCTGCTTCTAAACGAAAGAAATATTCATGCAAGAAAATCGAAAGAAGAGGTGTGCGTTTTTTTACTTTGAATTATTGAAAACAGCGTTCAGACAAATCTGGACATACAGTGACCGCCAAAAAGTTGCGGACAAACCCTTCTCCCTTTCTCATCGTTCGTTTCCAGAGGGAAAACAAGGATGAAAAAATGTAATAATTGCACGAGGTGATAGAGCTCTTCAAGATCTACAATCTACACTTTGAGCTTTTTAAGAAACATGTATTCTAAAAATTTTAAGAATCTTTTTCTTAAAAAAGTCCGAAAATGGCCGCGTCACAATGTCACGGACAATAATCTTCGAATGCAAAAATTTTCTTTTGAGCCCTATTTTAAAGCGGAAACACAAGTTATCCAAACGGGTAAGCATACTACTATACAGAGCTCGTCAAGAACTACACACTGGTTATGGTTGCTTACCCAAAAAACGCAAGCTTGAGTTTATTTTGCTTTTTTCAAAAAACAACTTCTAATTTCCTTTATCAAGCCAAATTTCTTCACCCGGAAACCTGTTCAAGACATCCCAACAAAGCCGTCTGGATAAAACAGATGCTCGTTGCCATCCCCTTTGCATCGGACGTGTGCTGATGAGTTTCTTGGCTGAAAATGGCCCTTGGCAGTGCTTGCACATGACCCTACCTGCACCTCACCATTGACTTGTACCGCTTTGCAGGCTTGTAACTCGGCCTGCAGTCAATGCTTGAGTCTGCAATTAGGCTCATTCAAAAGAGCGTGACTTCCTGGACACGACCATATGCAAATGACTTGAGTTTGAATAATTCCAGAGACTTGGCGGATGGGGTGAATAAGTGCAGTCTTAGAAGTGATCGGAGTGAAGACTCTTATGAACACCAGAAAAGTCTTAGAGCTTCGAAATGGATCTATTACAATAGAATTGACAGTTTTGAACCTTTAGAATAAAATTGGTAGCGAAAGAAGCTTTCTTCAACTTCAGCTGAAAAGTGCTTAGCCTACAAATGAAACTGTCCTCTACCACCCCATCCGCCAAATCTCTGAGATTGCTCAAACTGAACTTATTTGCATACCATCGTGTAGAGGAAGTCACGCTCTTTCGAAGGAGCCTGATTGCAGACTCAGACATTGACTATAGGCCGAGATACAAGCCTGCAAAGCGGTACAAGTCTGTGGCGAGGTGCAGCTGGGGTCACGTGTAAGCACTGCCAAGGGCCATTTTCAGCCAAGAAACTCATCAGCACACGTCCGATGCAAAGGGGATGGCAACGAGCATCTGTTTTATCCAGACGGCTTTGTTGGGATGTCTTGAACAGGTTTCCGGGTGAAGAAATTTGGCTTGATAAAGGAAATTAGAAGTTGTTTTTTGAAAAAAGCAAAATAAACTCAAGCTTGCGTTTTTTGGGTAAGCAACCATAACCAGTGTCTAGTTCTTGACGAGCTCTGTATAGTAGTATGCTTACCCGTTTGGATAACTTGTGTTTCCGCTTTAAAATAGGGCTCAAAAGAAAATTTTTGCGTTCGAAGAATTATTGTCCGCGACATTGTGACGTGGCCATTTTCGGACTTTTTTTTAGAAAAAGGTTCTTAAAATTTTTAGAATACATGTTTCTCAAAAAGCTCAAAGTGTAGATTGTAGATCTTGAAGAGCTCTATCACCTCGTGCAATTATTAAATTTTTTCATCCTTGTTTTCCCTCTGGAAACGAACGATGAGAAAGGGAGAAGGGTTTGTCCGCAACTTTTTGGCGGTCACTGTATGGGGATCTCACGTGGATAGTAATTATGGGGCCCTAACTAAGCCACTGCCCAACCGGCTGCTCAGGTAGTGCTCTAACGTTTGGATATTCCCCTCGAAAGTGGACCCCGGGAGATCGTAATCGCATGGATTCATGGCGCAACTGCATGGGTCCTCGCGCGAAACTGATGGGTTGCGCCATGAATCCATGCGATTACGATCCCGGGGTCCAGTTTCGGGGGAAATATCTCAGCCCTTAGAGCACTACCTGAGCTGCCGGTTGGGTAGTGGCTAATTAGGCCCCCAAAACTACATTCTACGTAAAATTCCCATAGGTCCAGATTTGCCTGGACGCTGCCTTTGAATAGCAATCAGGTCGTTGGTGTTCTGTTTTATCTTGCAATCTGGCTTGGTTCAAAATGTAGGATTTGATTCACTTGAAGGGTATGCGTAATGTGACACTTGCATATAAGCAACTTGAAGCTCCGCCCACTTCTGTAGTACCTTACTCTAACTTGTCATGGTGTGTTTGGCGCCAAGAACGCTGGAGGCGGAGCGAGCGTATTTTTAGGCGCAAAATTTGGAATTTGTGCTTTTTGCACCGCACCTCCCCCCTCCCCCCCCCCCTCTCCCGCCCCCATTTTATTGACAAATGCGTTACTTAGAGTCAGTTTTGTATGCTAGATGTAGAATATAATGTGCCTTCAGCGCCCTTGTATATCTTGGAAAAAAAAACAAATTGATTCAATTATGTGTGGGTTGCAAGAGGATGTGTCCTCTCATTAGCAATACAACATACAATTAGACGACACATTCTCATACTGAGCATCATTTTGCATCGTGCTCATGTAAACCATGTCTTTCACTAACAACATTTTTTCTTATTTTCTTTTCATTTGTCTTCTGAGTGGGATGATTGGAAAAGTACAGTGTGACCCCAACATTGTCGCGCAGATGCAGTGGTTGGCTATCATTTCTTTTGTTACTGCTAGATTTTAAGAACGCCTCAGTGAAAACTAAAACTAAACATCTTCCATTTGAATAGTATTTTCTCACGTTGGCTAAAAATGCTGTTTCGAATGCAATGCGTCTTACAAATCCGGATTGTGATAATCAAATTTTGTAAGTAATTGGATTTGAGCTAATCTCAAAAATAGCCATTCAGTTGCAACTAATTCTTATCATAAATAATAAAAATTGCAAGCAGTAATCTCTAAAGTGCCATCTTCCTGAATGAGTCTGTGTTATCTATCGAGTTGAAACTCACGGTTTTGGGAATAAAGGAAGTCGAAGATAACTAGTGAACCAGTAATTAAAGATGCTAGATTGCATCTGCGCGCTTCGAGACCGCTCCGCGGTTTCCCGCTATTTGATGTTTTTTGATTTGGCGTTACGATTTTTTATATATTAGATAGATTAGATTCCCATAACCGTGAGATTCATATCATATTCTTGAAAACTTGCCACCACTGAACGTTTGGCCTCCAACATCAGTGAATTAAGGTCTAGATAGCTATCAGAGGATTTGGCGCTTCCTGCAATGTAAATCAATTTTTGGAAGTGAATAGAAAACGTCAATTAGTCACAAGATATTGATTTTCTTCTCACCCTAGGCCTCCACATACTTCGAAAATTTTTCTAAGGTTTTGAGCATTCCTCGTGAAGAGAAAAAAAAACTACAAAAAGCGTGTAATATTCCATTTTTTACTCTTAACTAATGTTCACAATTACTCACGACAATCGTTAGCTAAAGATAATCGAGTGAAAATATTAAATCATCGTTCGCAAAATTTTCAAAAATTCATAACTTCTGATTTCTTCAGAAGATGAGTGCTTTTATCTTTATGTGAAAGAGTAAATCATGCTATTTATAATGGCGTCTTAGCTGCTTACCAGTCATCTGTTGCATAGGAGCAGTAGAAGAGAATAACTCAAAATTCGAATTTTCTGTGTAGAGTAGAAAATCTGGAACTCGCAATAAAATTCGGAGTTGTCAGTGTTATTCTATACCTGCTCTTCCTAACTGTGCAAAGCTAGTGCTGCTTGAACCTCTATCAACTGTTATGATTTACGAGAAAAATGCCAAAATAAATCAAAATTGCTTTTTGTATTGCTTACTCGAAACATAAGTTTTAATAGAAACGTTCATTCAGCACAAACTTTGCACAGGTATAAAGAGCAAGTAGTAGGACCTATAATACCCAGTGCTCAGATTTTTATTGCAAGTTTCAGATTTTTTATGACCCTTTATAGAAAATTAGATTTATGAGTGATGTTCTTCTACCGCTCCTATCTATGCAAGAGATGACCGTTTGTAAGTAGCTAAGATGTCATTGAAAGAGAATGATTTACTCTTTCTAAGAGCAGTCAAATCAACTGGAGAAATCAGAATTTATAAATTTTGTAAAAATTGTGCGAACGAACTGTCGGGACGACCTAATATGTGAAAAATTGTGGCAGTGTATGATGAATAATATTCAGATCTTGCCATACCGTCTCGCTTCCTTAGCTTTACAGTTTACTAAACTGGGACTCGGTTAAAACTGTTTCTAAACGCTAATAAAGTTTTATATGACATTTATAAGGGGAAATAACTCTCTTGCGCCGGGTGGCTGTGAATCTTCGTAATATTGAATTCTTCTTCTAATCATGTTTAGATACTCTTTAAGGGTATCATGGCTAAGCAGTTGTGGGTGTTAATTCCTCGCCGTTTACGATTTTCCGTCTGCTTCCGAGAAACCCACTTTCATTTTTATCATCTTGAAGATCATCATAAGGAGCAATCCTGATTTCAAACTTCTCTTCGTATCTTTCTCCTGAACATCGCAATTCATGTACGGTAATCCACATCTCAACAGTTGCGTTGTGTGATTGCACAAGAATAATTTCTGATTTATCACTGAATAGCAAGTTTAAAAAAATGCAACATTCATTTTCTACTCAATGCAATCGTCTCCACTTTACTTTTCTTACTACTTTTCTCGATCATGGATGGCTCACTGCTCTGCTGCACATTGCTAAAATGGTGCAACTACACAAAGCTTTGTATTCGAACGAACACGGCTGTGTGTGAAGGCTTTCTTCTCCACTTGACCAAGGGGGGGGGGGTAGCTTAGAACGTCATGAAAAAGCTGTAAATTTCATCCATTATTAATGGATAAAGTCTGTCACTTTTGATTTCGAAAAATTCCAGAACGTTCCTAGAAATTAGTGTTTCTTCATACTCAGGCGATAGCAGAGTCCTTTCGCTGGCAAGATTAATGCCGCAAATGCACACATAGCCAGCAAGCTTACGAAGCTTTGTAGATGTATTAGAAAATTTTCTTTTCTTGGAATTTTTTTAGACTGTCCAAGCGCTTAATTTTTTTTATAATTTTCTGACATGCGTCTTGACACTGTCTCTTCTACTACGGTAGTTTGATGCCTTTGGTATCTCAAAAATAAAACGCAAAAATTATTAAGTAAGCTATCAAACATTCTAAAAATTCTGCTATGTCATTATGTAAAAAAATTGATATGGAAATGTTTGATATGAAAAGAAATTTTACCACTTCTAATACAACGTAAATGTTATAGAAATCATGCGCTAGACTGTTTCTTCATATACTTTTTAAGAAGATTTAGAAAATCTAATTCCGTATTAGATTATTGACGACAAGGTACGCTACTGCGAAACTTTATCCAAAAATAAAAGAAATCCCTTAGAATTTCACAGCTAAAAATATTGTTTTTGCCTTTTGATATTTTCTGGCACTTTTTCGTTCCTTAATCTCCTCTATCTCAAGACTACCAACGTTCTTCCCTTCATTTTTGCCGGAACAGGATATGAGTTGATTTCCCCGAAGACAAGCCATTAGTAAGAGCAGCCTCATTGTTCCGAAACCTCTTTGCGCGATCGTGGGGAAACCACAACTTCTTCTCCATCAGCTCTTTTTATCCCCGATGAAAAGTTGTACAGGGAGGATATCGAAAGCCAGAGCGAAAGCGTCAACTACCACCTGCGAAAATCGCTTTTGATACCGGTTCTAATCCACACTAGTTGCCACGGATACTAAGGATTTTCCCCAGGCTAAGCACTGCTGCTTCGTCTCTACTTGTTTTCCGATTCTATTACGACTAAGGTGTTTCACAAGAGCAGAGGTATTCCTCGATGGAGAATCTGCGGACAGCATTATCCAAACAAGACCCGCCTTATTTTCTGGAATATTTCTGTCTGAAAATTTTTGCTCCAGTTTTTTGCGATAGATTAGAGATTTTGTAAAATTTAGATCTACAACGAGCTACAATCGCAGCACAAGCATTTTACGCCGAAAACAGTGAGCCAACAAAAACGAGGTCGCCTTGGATTCTAAAACGGCTGGTATGTTTTAGAATTTTTTGAACTTCTTTAAAAAATTTAATTATTGTTTTTCTCTCTAGTACGAATGGTCCAACCGTGCAAAACGTCGTGAAATTATCAAACATGTACAAGCGGCCTTGGAAACCTCCGTAGATCATGAGCTAGAAGATGATGAGCTGGAAAAGTTACTGGTAAGTAAATATATCATTTCAATGATCCTCAGCCGATAAGCAAAATTTTCAGCCTGTTAATTGGGACGAAATGTTCGAGGGACCAATTCAGGAGCTTCCACCTCAAGTAAGATCTTTCAATTTACTTTTGACTGAAATGAGTAGTTGAAACACTTCAAGAATAGTGTTTATTCATAGCTGCATGTTTTTTCTATTTTTAAGGCCTTTACATCTTCACAAATTGTAATTCTGTAGGAGATTGTCTTATCAGAAACAACATGAAGCTCTGTAAATGTTCTAAATAATATTTTATTCCAGAAACAAAAATATCTGCAATCAGTCTGGGAGCTTTTTCATTCGGAACTCAAATTTCTCCATCATCAACTACTGGTCCTTCGGTATGTCACCTACTCTCCCCCCCCCCAAATATATATATGTATACACTTTTTTTCAGAAATGTCTACAAAGAGCCCCTAAAGAAATGCCAGGTTGAGGGATGTCTACTTACCGTCGAACCTGATCTTCTCTTTGGTAACTTGGACCAACTTTGCCGAATATCACGCGGATTTTGCCAGACTTTCCTTTCCCTTCTGCCGGCTGTAAATCGTGAAGGCACTGATTATGACTGTACGGAGCTTGTCGTGAAACTCTTTGAGAAGGTGAGCTGAAAAGTCGAAAAATTGAAATTAGAAGTTCCAGTAATGAACTCATGGTGATATAAGAGCGAACTAGGGCTTCAGTTGGATTGGAAAAAATTCATATGATGTGAAGAACTTCATCAAAGTTTGAAGAAAAAGTCATTCTAACGTCTTCTGCTTGGAAGTTTTAAACCAAACTCCTCACTTTGTTCAAATATTCGCTTCGTTGTGATGGTCATTCGACCGTAAGCTGAATGACGTATTTTTTCTTAATTGATTCACTCATTTTTTAATTTCATTTTTGAACACCCACTGACTGCTCAGAACTACATACAAAAACTTCTGCCGGACAAGAAGTTTACAGTGTTTACATTTTTACCATCCAAATTTCAAATTTCGAGAATGAAAACTTCCGTAATTTGACGCACGTTGATTGAAAAAGGAAACTTTCGCAGCACTTTCCACAAAGGCTGGGGATTCTTTCCTTGTATGTGCCGCGGAGCTTCCGATCATTTGTCTGCGTAATGTAGTGCTGATTCGGAGTAGAGTCACCTAGTTCCTCAAACTAACTTAAAGTGTCGTTGTGCTACAAACAGCTATGCCTTGAGTCCTGTTTCACCCACTCTATTGATCACATTGCGACGAAGATCATAAAAGAAGCTAAAGGTATCAGGCTATGCTAGGGAGGGTGTTAGCCAGCTAAACTGCAAAATACCTTATTTAAGATCAACATCAGGCTCTGATCCCCATCTAGGCGTCTGTAATAACGCAAAGTGGACGTTAAGTATGTGACGCATCAAGTTTTCTGCAAATTGGCAAGTTCGAATATGGCCCTTTACCATTATTCACTGCACCGACAAGCTTATTGGACAATTTACATACTCTATGAAAAGATTCGGGATGATCGAAATTTTTGCGTACCGAAAACGAAAATTTTCATGGAAGGCTGATCTGATCTTTTGTTTTGAAAATCTTGAAAATTATTAGGTCAGTTGCGCAATAACACCCAAGTAATTTGAAACATACAGAAATCCGTATCTTGATCAGCTTTTTTACTAATTATGTTTGGCATGCCTGCTCCAGGTGAGAAGCTTTTAGTTGCTGGAACTCAAATGTTGTATTGGGGGGTAGGGCGGGGAAAGGCTCATGTTAACGAAATTCTTGCGTTGTTTGCACAGAGGAACTAAACAATTTAACAATTATTATTGTACAACCATTGCACATCTCTGGACAGATCTGTCAGAGAATACGGTTGCAGATTTTTGATACTTCAGAAATGGTGAAATGTAAATGTTAAGTACCAAAAAGTCCTAAAAATGCAACTGACAGCCAGTTTGTTAAAGTTTTGACTTAGCCGCTTTTACCAAAGGCTTCAAACTCAGCATTGGTGACTCGAGTGGAAGGTAGCCAGTTTGTTTCCCTTACCATTTCTCGAAATTTTGCGCTAAACTAGATTTCTGAGCGAATGGAAATCCCCACTTGATCATCTCCCATCTTGATAGCTGTGGAAGCTGTTGAAGTTAACTTGCTATTTTTGCTTCATCGACGCATTGGTTGACGTAAGTAAGTGTCCAAATGATTTCAATATGACCAGCTTAGCTTCGCAAATCGGTTTTTCTTCTGAGCTTTGAACCTCGCTCTATAAATAGAGACTTATAAGACCATGTGGTTAAGCTTGTAACTAGTGTAAGCTCCTTAGCACCTTTCGAAACCACTTTGCATAAGAATAATGACATGTAGAAAATGGCAATGTAATTCGTGTGATAAACTCTTAAGTGAAAAAAAACGCCTCAAGCGATGTCCTTTCCTTGTAAATTTGTAGATTTCCAAATCAGTAGAAATATAGCAAACACGATAACGAATATTGTATTACAGTTCTCGAAAGGTCCCTCGACGATCTCAGCATACCAAGCATACTGTATCAACTATAAGGCCACTATGGAATATTTGGGTTCCATACGGCAGAAAGAGGAGCGATTTACAGAATTTGAAAGGGTGAGTTTTGATTTTTAGCCTATTTTAGAGAGTCATTTTTCATCAAATACAGGCCATTAATCCTGAAGAATTTGTATCCTCTTGCATCGAATAATGTAAAAAACATGCTTCGAAAAATTGGAGAACTGCCAAGAATCAAAGCATTCAAAAGCAAAAATCTCTATCATCGCCGATATTCATAGATTGTCCTTTTAGATTTGCCTAGCAGACGAGAGGTGCTTTCGATTGCAGTTAGAAGATTTGCTTATAGCTCCACTTCAAAGGTAATTTTCAACTACTAATTTTTAAGCGCTGATTATCCAAATTTTGTAGGATAACCCGACTTCCTATTTTGTTGCGTGAAATCCACAGATACACAGAAAATATTGAAGACAAAGCTCAGGTGGAAAAAGTGATCGATTCAATGACTGAGAGTCTGCGTAAGTCGATTTTTGAAGGAAGGGCTTATTTCAGAAAAAAAATAAAAAATTTAGGATCTATTGACGATAGCGTGCAATGGTTGCATAATTTCGAACGTTTGCAACAACTACAGACTCAAGTGATATGGCCGTCAATTGTGGAAATGGAACCAAAATCATTTGTTCCTGATGTGAGTCGATTAGTCAGCTGAAAAATAAAAAATCTCCAAATTTTATCAGGATCATTTGTTTTTCCAGTTCCTCAAGGTGGCTTTGTCTCGACAGTTTTGCGAAAATCTCCTTGCACATCCAAGAAGGAAGCTCATTCACGAAGGACCATTGGAGTTAGTGGGTAAGAACTGAACTTCTCTAGAGGCAGTGGAAAAAAGAATTTATCTGTATTTTCAGAGAATGGCAGGACAGTCGATTGCTATGCGTTTCTCTTTAATGATATGTTTGTATTGTCAAAAACAAAGAAATGTGCATTGAAGCTGAGAGTTGTGAGTGATTTTTATTTTTAAGTGATCCTTAAACAAAACAAAGTGCTGACAACGCTCCAGATCGCTCATAATTGACTGTCAGACTGCGTCCCGAGTTGCTGCGCATGCTCAGTGCCAGCGTGGTGCCGGCGCCGTTCCACTGCCGTGCTAGCGCCGTGCCGGCAGGTATTCGATCAGTACGGGCGCGTCTGCTTACTGGCCGGCACCTTGCTGGCACGGTGCTAAACAGCCGCACACGCACCACTCTGAACGTTTAATGTAGTGTCTCTTTGCGCTACCGGGCACATTTGCGCGTAACAAATCTTGAATGGTTTAGTCGAAATTTTCTTCTGCGCAAGTTTGGCACAGCAGTTATTTTTCTGAATGTAAAATCTGCTGGCATACAAATATTGTAAAGAGTTTGATTTTAGAAAGGTAACCCCGTTGGCAAGACGGACCATTATGTCGTACAGCGACAGCCTGTACCCTTGGATTCCTGTGTGTTTTGCGATGCTGATTCCAACGACTCGAACAGCTCAAGTAAGTTTTGAAATTCCATCAACGAAGTTTTTTCAAAACCATTTTTTTCTAGTGTCACTGAAATTTGCCTTTGTGATCATCCACCTCACTCGGTACTATCAAGTGGTTGCCATTTACACATTACAAGCAGCGGATAAACGTGATAAAGTGAGTATGATTGTATGCGTGTTCGAAGACGCAGACAACGCAAGCTGCTGCGGCCTGCCGCGGCGCAGCTTCGACGCCTTTGAGTCGCTGCCTCCAGTGTTGTGCAGGTAGACCTATGCTTTTGCTTTTCTAGGAACTGTGGATTGAAAAATTCCAAGAATCAATCGAGAATTATGAATCAATACAACTAAAGGACATGTTGAAGTGTACGCCGCTGTTTTCCAGTTTGAGTCTAAGAAGGTAAATCCACAATTTCCACCGAGTCAACTCTCTACAATCGATTAATTACAGGTGCTCTTCGTCACGACTAATGAATAAAAATTGTAAAGAAAAAGATAAAGACTCAGAAAAAGAATGTAAAGAATGTAAAGAGCATAGTGATTCAGTAGAATCGAAAGATTAGTTGTATTTTGTTGTTTCCTATGTGCGTAAGACACATATATCATTCATTTGTCTATATTCCTCCTGTTTGTGATTCTCATTCTTCGGACTATTGTTATTTTTTTTTATTGTGATGATAAATATTTGCTGTCTATGTATGGATTTAAAGACAATTGCGCAAGCTCCAGATTACATCTTCAAAGCTAACTGTATCCAGAAGTCAGCTGCTATGATCCAGAGAGGTTAATTAATAAACTATTCAATGGTCAAGAATAAAGGGTGTCCCAAAAGTATGCAAAAACTTTTTAGTTCTTCGTATCTCTTCCCAGAAAGCCTTCAGTTCCACGTACCATTCTGTAGAACTGACTTCAACTTAGATTTGCTGTATAACGCGAATCACCAATCGATCTTGATCATCCTATATTTAGGTTAAAAACTGGCCCTGATTGGCCTAATGATAAACTTTTCAATTTGTTGAGTATCCATTCTGAGGAAGGCCAGCTGACAGCTCAAAACCCTTTTGATAGCTACCACTGTAATCGTAGCCTATCAAACTGCTACATTTACAAGGCTAATTACCAGAATCAGAGGGTCTCAAACAAATTGGAAGTTACTCTAGATCAATTGATGTGTAATAAGGACAAATATAGTGCTGGGGGTTCGCCAGAGCCCTACAAGAAAGCAGTAGGTGAGTCGTTTTATACTGAGAATCTAATGTACCATTTGATTCAACTGGCTTGGCATCGACAGAGGCGGGGCTTTGTGACCTAATTAAGACTAGGTAATGATCAGAGAGCACTCGCGCGAGAGAGGCGCAGGTGCGTCGCGGGCGCGAGCGGCCTCAATTAGATCACAAAACCCCGCCCTAATGGTGCCAAGCCAGTTGAATCAAAGGTTAAGTCAAAGATTGCTCCACTGAATGATACCTTAAGTTAACAAGGAAAGGAAGGGTAGTCGAAGTGGACCTTTGCTATGGGATGAATACTGCCATGAAGGGTATGAAACGATGATTCCAAATCTACCTTCCTTATCTGCTGCGGGTTCCTGAGTAAGGAGTTACGGAGATTTCTACGAGCGAAAATTTGTATATGCAGCTAGGATAAAATCAGTGGTACCTTCTTTTTTCTTTTTTCTACTACTCTAATGATTTTCGAGTTACTCTGTGCAGTGAATAATCTTGATTCAAAGATATCCTCTCAACTCTGCCACCTCGGAACGCTCGGAAAAGTCAGCAATTGAATTTACACTGATCAAACATTGAATTTTTGCCCATAAAAACCTTCAACACTCCTTGCTCAAAAACACTAAAAACAAAAGACCTTATAGGAAGAGAGATACTGACAATCAAAAGAGTGTTATACTTTCAACCCCCCCCCTGTATGATGATGGGCCGAAACATGTGCGTATAATCGAAGCAAAACCATATTACTTTATCCTATTGATCCGACGTCGATAATGTCATTCTAATCGACAAAAATTTGAAAAAAAAAACAGATAATTGTTCCAATCGAATGAAGCCGAGTTGGCAAGAAAACAGAATATAGCAGAGGGTAGAGGACTGAACGTCGCCGATAAGCTCCACCGCATACGGATAGCAGCTAGTCCACTGAACCCCAGCACAGGGAGAGTCTTGGGCTGCATGCATTAACATCCTGGCCGGGATGGGATCGCAGCTCGAAAGAAAAGCTCTATATCCTGAAGCTCCAGATATCTGGATTTCACGTTGTCTACCTATTCGTAAGTATCCCTACCATCCTTGACTATGATATTTAATAAAAACGAAAAGCTGTACAAGCTCCTTTTCCCAGCTTTTTGTATGATCCCTGATGGTTCACAGCGCCCTACCGTCTTTTCTTCAAAGTCACTTTTCTTTCTTCGAATGCAATGAAAACGTTCCAAATTTGTGCTGTTCGTCTAAGCTAACAGCGCTAACCATGTTTCTGGTAAGAACAAATTTTTCGAAGTCGTGAGATTTGCGATGAACATTGAGTCAAAAGTTGGGTTTTATCGAAAAAATTGATATTCCAAAAACTCATTGTTCTTATCAGCAACATGCTTACCAGTGTTGGGTTAGATAATCAATACAACTTCGGAAGGTTTTTGTTAACTTCGAACGAAGAAAAATGACTTTGAAGAAAAGCGCCGGGGATCATCAGGGAATTATACAAAAAGCTGGAAAATGCGGCTTGTACAGCTTCTCGCTTCTGTTCAATATGTTCAAAGTGAAGGAAGGTAGGAGTACTTACGGATAGGTATAAAGCGTGACATCTAGTTATCTGGAGCTAGGATATGAAGCGATTGATTTAGCAAGTACATATGTTGATGATTCATGTATCATCAACCTTAACAATTCTATACACCTAATAGCTTACAAGTATTCACCACAGGCTACATTCTCCAACCGCTTATATTTAAGTGTCGAGTCACTCACCAGTGAGTGGCACCTATCTTCCAGGGGCCGCGCCAAGCCGCGGCATCCTCTTTCTTGCATATATTTCCTGGACAGTCTGATTGTGCACGGGTCAGCTCCGCCTTACTACCTATATAAGGAGCCCTCGATTGTATTACAGGGTGCTCCCCCCGGTTCAACACCGGGTTCGTCTCAATAAATATTTCAAGGACTCCACCATCGACAGCGAGACATTGGTTTCCACCAAATTGGTGCATCGACCCGTGAAACCACCTCGTATTCCATCTGCAACCGGAGGAATCGAGGCCACAAGACCCGCGTGGCAGGAAAAAGACAACCAACCGACTATCTGAAAATCTCTGTGCATCCTTTTCGTAAGTGATCCAGAGAGGTGTATTAGAAATCAGTCGGTCGTGTGAACTTTTTCTTGTAAACTCTCTGTGCATCCTTTTCGCAAGCGGACCATAGAGTGGGGAAGAATCAGGGTCACCACACAATCAGGCAACTTGGAAACTTTTTGTGCATCCTATTCAGAAAGTGAAAGAGTAGTCAAGTGGAGCACATAATCACATTAATACGTGAAACTTTTCGTGTATCATTTCCGTAAGCGATCCAGAGGGTGGAACAAATTTTGTAGGTGCAACACATAACCATATAAGACCGTCAAACTTCTCAGACAACTGGCCGGAACTTCCGCAGCGCTTTCGCAGGGTTTCCGCAAGTGACCCGGCGGAAATCCTGCGAAAGCGCTGCGGAAACCCTGCAATCTCAGGGTGCAGGGTTTCCGCAGCGCTTTCGCAGGATTTTCGCAGCACTTTGCGCTTTTAATCCGCGATCCGTTTCTTCCATATCAAGCTTCCTTTTTGATACTAGGATTTCCTTTCCAATACTAGGTTTTCGCTTTTTAGTAAGGCATTATTTCTTTGATGTGGAAATTCCTCTAGACTTTCTAGATGCTAAGAGACGTAGACAGCGCGAGATAGTTTCAATGAGAAAGCAAATGGCAGAGTGTATTGTTTTATGCAGGACACCATATAGAAAATCACAATAGGCCGAAGTTGATAATTGCAAACTAACAGATTCAATGAAGTGTTCATAAATAAATACACATAAAGTTACAGAAGCATTCGAGTATGTATGCATAACCGAATAAGTTTAATCGGCAGATATGAAGAATTAAAAAGTGTTATACTGATGGAAGAGTAAAGAATAATGGAAGAATAAGATAAAAACAAGAATAACAATCTCATTCACAAAGGATAATATGCGCTTTGAAGCGAAGGTGGTCCTGTGGGGAAATAAACCGTTTCCACTTATCGGGTGTATTTTGACCTTGTCCGCGCGACTGAAGCCGGCTTCGGCCTCCCTTCATTTCTGTGATGAGAATTAATTGAAATTTCGTGATGTAAATGATGTAAATCGTGCCTTGCCGCAAGTGTTCCATTTTGCAACTTCTTCGCCAAGAAATACGGAGCAAATTTGGACGATTCATTTGAAATTTTCGGAAATTTCGAAATCTCAACAGTAGAAGCTCTGAAGCGGATTTGAAAATTACAAGTTTTCTGCAAAAATCAAGGCTTTACTTTGACTTGAATTTTTTTGGAATTTTCAAATTTGGAGCGACAGAACTTTTGCTTTAATCTAATATTCCCGCATTTTCCACACAAAACAGGTATGTGTCAGACTCTAAGGCAGGTATGTGTAAGTGAAAGTTATTATAAGTTATTGTTGAATTTTCATAAATTAATACTTAGGAAACAATACTAATGAATCAAAAGCTCGTTCCCATCCTTTTCAAAAATTCGAAACTTTCTTCCTTCACATCCGATCTGCACATGTTTATTTTGAAAGAAGACATGCTTTCTAATGGTACCTGAGGCACTTTTTGATAGCTCCAAAGGTAGAAGCCGGTAAAGAAAATTATTCTATTTCAATATTCCCCATGTGTGGTCGCAAAAGTCTGCTTGCAGAAAATTGGAGCATTCGGTAAATTAATCATGTGCAGATCCGTTGAAGGTAGGAAGTATCTGGGAGAGAGAAAAGCATTTAAAACAACAAAACAGAGGAGCAGAGAACGATAAATATATTAAAGCAGTGGCGGTGCAAGAAACTTTTTCAGGGGGAGGGGGACAAAAAATTATTTGGGTTTGTGGGCGTGAGCCACCGAACAAAGGGCAATTTAGGAATGGTTGAATTTTCGTGGTTTCAGCTTTTGTATGCCCTCGATTTTTTTATAGCAAAAATGGGCGGAGTGAGCCACACCTTCGAAAATTGCCTAAACAGACTACTTTAGAGTTTAGAAGAGCTGATCTTTCATTATCTACAGTCGCAGACTACTATGAATATTCTTGAGACCCATTATGCTTTGCCCCTTTCTTTTGATATATTTCTACCCACATTATTTCTATTTTACTCAATCATTCAACATTATTATTTGAAAATTTCTCGAGCTATGATTAAATCATAAGTTTTGAACTTTTTATCTTGAATCAAAAATCATTATTTTGTGATGTGTGCGGTGTTGTGAGAGGAAAAACATTTGAAAATCAAAAGCAGAGAGTAGAAAAGGATAGACACACGAAAAGCAGTGGCGGCGCGAGAAATTTATTTGAGGGAGGGGAGGGAGGGATTGAAACTTTTGGGTTTGTGGGCGTGTGGCCACTTCCAGCAAAAAAAATTCAGGAATGGTTGAACATTT